GTGGTCAGTTGGGGTCAGCTGTCCCGGCTGTGTCCCCTCCAACTTCTTGTGCCCCCCCCGCCTGCTCACAGGTGGGGTGGGGCGAGGAGCAGAAAAGGCCTTGACTAGTGTCAGCACTGCTCAGCAGCAACGAAAACATCCCTGTGTTATCAACACTGTTTCCAGCACAAATCCAAAACACAGCCCCATACCAGCTACTGTGGAGAAAATTAACTCTGTCCCAGCCAAAACCAGCACAGTAAGTTAGCAGTCCCATTATACCATGTCCTGAACAGATTTGCAGCGTTTTGGTCGTTGATTCTGAGAAAAGTCTCTGTTTGACTATTTTGCTTAATTAGCATCTCGGGTAAAATGACATTAGAACCTTTAGACTGTTAACTGACGAAAGTTTCGGGACTTAGGAGAAAGTACATTAACTTATAGCATGGTCTGTAGCATCAGGTATTGGTTACTGTTGGACACAGGATATTGGACCTCTGTTCTACTTCAGTAAGGCTATTTTTATGTTTTTAGTATCCAAAATGGAAGATGTTTTTTCCTTATTTTGGAGTACCATTGCTAAAACAAAGTGGGAAAAAGTTATCCTCAATTTTAGTTTAGAGTATTCACTGAAAAGCAAAAGAAATTTAATATGTTTTGCTTTTAAATAGATTACTCCAGTCGCACACTCTGGGGTAAGGTGAGTATATACCCATATTCCCTGTTGAACGTGACCGTGTACCTTAGGAGTTTGCTGGAGTGATAGCTTTAAAAATTCTCGCAAAACAGAAGACATCTCATCGTGGCATTCTGATACTGGGCTGGCCGTGCAATATGCTGGTTGGCTTTTTCTGCCCTGATTCCTGGATCGCCATCTCTGGGTAGGCTGATGGTGTGCGAACTCTGACAGGAGGTTTGTAGAGGCGTATGACTTGTGGCAGTGGTTCAGGATACTGCTGTGGGAGCATACCTGATCGCAGCACGCTGGTGGTTGAGTGGGCTGTGCTGCCTGCAAGTCTCTAATTGAGTGGTAAAAATGCTTCCCGTTGAAGTTCTGGTTTGCTCCTGAACAGATCCCCCGGGAGTTTCCTAATCCACTGAATTAAGGTTCAGTTTGCAAACCAGCATGTTTCTTTTTAAAATGTGCTCTACTAATATATTCTTACTTGTTACGGGTGGCTTTGATATTGTTTGCTCTCTGACTACTTTCCAAATTGATGTGCTAAGAGGTTTTTTTGCCCTCCAGTGATGAGAGATCCAAGGAAGAGCAAAACTGAAAGGCAAGAGATTACGTTGTGGATGTTCTCTTAATAATCTGTTTTGAAATGGTCTTGAATGAACTTGGCCTAACATGCGGTTACCATTTAAATATGATTTAATTTGTTGAGGGAGGAGGGATATTGGGTAAGGAGTCCTGGATTAGAGGCCAGAGTTCTGGGATGGTTGTCTGGTGGGAATCTTTTCTTTATGATGGCTTCCTATGTTTTTGTAATGGAGAAGAGATATGGGTAATGTTTCTGTAGCTACTGTTTCTCCTTGGCCTGACTTCAGTTTGTACTTGGTTAAAATTAAAAATAGAACCTAAAAAGAATGCTTGACGTACAGATAGTAACGAGTTACAGGAATTCAGCCATAAAATCTGAGTCTCCTGCAGCTTGTACGTGGTTCACCCCTCTCAAGCTATAGCTGCATGTAATTTTTATTTTTTGAGTTGTGGTTCTCAAACTTCAGAACTCCAGTCCTTACAGATGACAAACATGAGGCACCTCCATTTACTTAAAAAAACTTTTGTTTAGAGGCAACTCAAGTGAGGTTTGAAAAAAAAACCTGTGATGGAGTCGGTGTTGGTGAGACAAGAACCTCAACACCGCAGAAATACAACATGCGAGTTCAGAAACAACTAGGAATGTCTGCAAGCCCTGTTGTAGTTATCCTTAGTGAAAATCTGCTAGTAAAACTCATTCAAACCCAATGTATTGCTGCAAGAAGAATGAAACCAGCAGGTTACCCAGTTTCGGGAGATGGCAGACTGACAAGGGGTGGAGTGAGGACTTCTTGGGATCCTTCTGACTGTGCTGATCGTGCAGTTTTGGAGTGTTATAAGTGCAGGCAGAGCTGGGCAGGTGAGGCACCTTGCTTTGAGTATGCTACAAGAATGCATTTCCAAAACTGTGGTATTTCGTTTGTTGTTAGTGTGAGCATCACTTTGTCTCATTCTACCTGTGTTTGTACATTCTTTTGCTGCCTTCGGTTCTCAGTGGTTTCAGCTGAAGTAAAAGATGGCAGTTTCCATTGCCATTGTTCTTTTTTTATGCTTATATGTAGATGGTTTCAGTTTTTGTATGATTTTACACCTTTCTGTTTACAGTTGTTTCAATTTAAGATCTTGCCTTTAACATCTGGGAAATGGATATTTTCTAGCCACAGAATTCAAATATTGTCACACCCTTTGAATACTTTCAGGGTATAGTGGTTTACCCATGAGAGTGGTCATGGGAGTGTCCCTCCTGAAAACTGTTTGCTGTCTTCAGATCGATTCCACGATGACTTGACATCCAAGTTGTAACTGTTTTGAATTCTCTACATAATGGTTTCACTTACCTCATAAACGTTTGGAGAGGGTTTTAATACTTTGGCTTACTGCTCATAAAATAGCTCTAACTGTAAACAAATCCAAACTATGTTGTCATTAAGAACTGAAATGTGAAGTTCTAGAAAATGCTGTTGAAAGTGTGTCATCACTAGGTATGTTACCTGTGACGTTGAACTTGCTGGGCGAAGCTCATTTACTTAATTATCTGTTACCTATTCGCTGCATATTAAGATTTTATCCAGCGAAAGAAAATGCTTTTGTTCAACAGAATTTCGCATTCTAAAGTACCATTTAAACTGTCATTAAAATACTGTTTTGTGACTTCAGTTGTTTTTCTCACCGGTTATAGAATCCACTGCGTAAAGTAGGTGAAAAGATAAAATAATCTAATACTTGTCTTTTAACTTTCAGCTTTGTGTTATTCTTGGAAAGTTTCGCACCACTTGTGAATTCCTTGAACCTTGGCATTGCAAGCCCACTTCTGTTGGGCCCTCCTCATTTACAGCTTGCACAAATTAAGACACAGTTGGCTCTTCAGCAATTGACCTCAGTTGCTACCAACAGTTCTGCACCTCCTTATGCTTGGTTAAATCAGGCATTTCTGAAAAGCGCAATGTTTAGCCCTAGAGGAACTTTACCTCAGAGGCCGAGAGGACCTAATCCATCTGGCACAAAGCCTCCAGGATCCTTTCGGGGAGGAGGTGCAGCAGGTCTTCAGAGAAAGCCTGCACCTGGAGCACCTCAAGGAACGCCACAAAGATTTTCGGGACAGGAAACGTTTCAGTGGACGGGTTCACAGAGGATAAACGTTCGGGTAACTCTGCACAGGACTGATCCGAGGCGGGTGAAGGAGAAGACGAACCTGCACCAGGAGCAGAAGGGAGAGCCTCGCACAAGTTGCTGGGATAGTAGCCCGTGCTCAGCTGGGACAACTGGGCAAAAGCCATCGGCCTCGGCACGGATCACAGAGCAGAATTCAAATGCCCAGAACCGCTACACGCCAGAAAGCGCTTCCAGTATTTTAGCGAGTTTCGGGCTGTCTAATGAAGATCTGGAGGAACTCAGTCGCTATCCAGATGATCAGTTAACGCCTGAAAATATGCCGCTAATCTTAAGAGAAATACGGATTCGCAAGATGGGTCATTCTTTACCTGGTTTACATTCTCAGAGCAGAGCAGAAGAAACGATTGGTGGTACGAGCGGTACAGCAGTCAAGAGTAAAGTGATTGATTATGGGCATGCAAGCAAATACGGTTACACTGAAGATCCTCTTGAAGTGCGTGCTTATAATCCTGAAGTGCTGACTGAAGATCCTCTCGAAGCACGTGTCTATAATCCTGAAGCTTCGAGCGGAGAGAACAGGGAAGACTTCCAACGAGAGCAGAATATGTCAATGGGTGTCCCACCATCTAGCGTGACGTGTAATCCAGTGTTTCCAGTTGAAGATTTAATAAAACCAACGGGGTTCCAGAATGATTCCTCAAATAATCGATCATTTTTTCCAGCGGAGACTCCGGGAAAGGTGTCCAGTTTGTGTGCAACACCCGCTGGACTCCCCGTGGTGAAATCTGTATCCCAGCCCGCAATACCACCTGTCATGCCACCTATGATGCCACCTATAATGCCACCCTTGGCACAGCCCATGATGCCACCTGTCATGCCGCCTCTTGTCCAGCAGTCTATGACCCAGCACGTAATGCCGCCGATGACCCAGCCACCCTTTTCAGCTGAACTTCTTGCAGCTGTAAGCCAGCATGAAAGAATTCAGCATGAATCTGGGACAAGCCAGTCTAATGCCCAGAGCGGCTCAGGAGCAGGACAGAAGCCCTTCCAGACACAGGCTGAGGGGCCGATTAAATCTCCTTTTGGTATTGTGAAAGCATCGTGGCTTCCAGTGTTTCTACAGTCTGACGCCCAGAAGATAAAAAGATTGCCCACTCCGTCAATGATGAATGACTACTATGCTACATCTCCGAGAATATTTCCACATATGTGTTCTCTGTGTAACATTGAATGCACTCATATGAAGGTGAGTGTCTTTCAGAGATTATTGCATAAACTTGTACTCGGCATCTTACCTGCTGCACTGTTTTATGAACTAATTTTTTACTGTGTGTTAAATGAATTGTGACGCTGTTCGCCAGTTTGAGTGCTTACATGCAAATTTCAAAATGCTAGAAACAGTGCTGGTAAATTATTGTAACTGCTGCACAGTGTGTTCTGTTCCAAATTGCATTTCAAAGTTGCCATACACATTGATTTTTATTTTTTTTTTGTCTTCTGCAGTGGGTTTCAAATGACAAAACAAAGCCTTTGTCAGTGGAGTAAAATACTAATGTCATCTGGGTGACTAAAATGCGTGCAGAAATTGTATGCTGAATCTCGGTAGGGTAGATAAGATGTTCATGTATTCAGCCCCCCTCCTGGAAAGTCTGCATTAAAACAAAGCAGCCTATTTATCTGCAAAAATTTAATCTTCCAAATGTGGTCTGTGGGACATTGACTATTCCAGAGACTGAAGACTAGCTCTGAGGGACACACAAAATGCTTTCATTCATCTGACTGAGCTTTCAGCTGTGAAGCAAGTAACAGTGTCAGCTCTTGAAGGAAGAAAAGGAAGGAACTGGTGAATACTGGGAGAGAGAAAAGCATTCTGAAAGCTGTGGATTTGTCTTGAAAGACCTAGGCTCGATATGTCAAAAATACAGGAGAACGTAATTTTAAAAAATTGAATAATCCATTATTAGTTTCATGTGTTTAAATTTTAAATAGTCTTCAACAAACGTGTAGAAAGCCTGTGTGGGGGAGTGCTTTTTTGCAATTTGGCAAAATCATGCAAGATTGCTAGGCCCTATTTGTGCTGTGTATTAAAAAAGCGAATGAATAGTTAAGACGGTGACAGCTGCATTAGGGGCTTCAGAATAAAAATAAATTTTCAAGTACTTTTACACGGTAAGCACTGAAGGCCAGGGAGAAGTGCAGCTGTTGGGGCAGACTTGAAAACTTAAAGGGAAGTTTGATTTAAAATAAAAGCGTGTAAAATTGAACAGGGCAACAAATTTGGGTTTGTGTTAATAAATGGACGAAGCACGTTGGAAAAGTGTAATCTGTTTAAATGTGAATTGTTCAGTCGCTTCCTTACTGGTGCTTTCTAACATTAAGCAAATGTTTTTACTAAAAGTACTTCTCGACAAATTAGCTGTGAAGTTTTCTGGGGAGATTAAAGGTTATAACTTCTTGCCCTAATGGCACTACAGTGTACCATGTGTTTTCCAGACATTCTGATCCGACTGCAACTACGCAACCTTTTCTCCCTGTCACGGCTGCTTCTAGCTCTGGCATATATTAACTTATTCTGAGTAGTATTTTTCTTCTTTATGTACACCTGCTGCTGCGTAGGCAGTTCAGACTGTTTTGAGGCCTCATGGGGCAAGCCATGTTTAGACCACGGTGTTGCAAAATAACCAAAAGAGTTAGGGTTTGGGGTTTTTTTTAACTGCAAAAAATAAAACTGTGTTAAGAAATGTCAGTCTTGTGTATTTGTGAATTCTAAAGAATGAAGAATTCCTCTTACTTTCAGTTTTACAGTTTGGTTTTACAAATAAAGTTGTCTTCTTTGTCTCAGTTGCATGGTTAAAGATGACCTAGGCATTCAGGTTTTTTGTCTCTGAAGTTGTGCTAAGTGTTGTAGAGGAAGCGTATGAAACAGCACCTTCAAACGGGAAGAGAAGTGATGGGGAAACGATGTGGTAGAAATGGGTAGTCATGTGTGGTATGACTTGCACTAGGAAATGCTTGTTTCACACCCAGAGCATAGATACTGTCTGCCACAACGTTGTGAAATCTTAGTTGAAAAATAACTGAACAAGTTCATGGAAGGAAATCCTTCGGAGGCTGTGCAAAGACCCTCTGATGGCTCAAGAAGTCCTTGGTGAGCAGGTGGCTGGAGGTGTATTCTGGGGAAGCGGCTCTGTTTTGTTAACGCACCTCCCTAGCCATCCCCTGTTGCATGCCGTGGGAGAAGAGGTGCTAGGTAAGCTAGATGGACCTTTGGTCTCCCCAGCACACCTGTAGATGACCTGGATCTTCAGAGCTGTTTTTAGGTCAAAGTGATTAGACATGACGATTTCTGGTGCGTAGTACCAAGTTGTAACAAGCAGTTTAAGAATGCTGTGTTATAAACAGCTGTCTTTGTACGTGGCAAATTGGAAAGAAAGTAGGCAAGCAAAGCGGAGAACGTGAAACAAGAATGGATGAAGAATGAGGAAAACCACCTCTTCATCCAGCACTTGAAGATACTGGATATCTGAAAACCGAAGTTTCTATGATGTTAAAATGATGGATTTCAAGTTCAGATTGTTCATGGTGATGAGCTGTCTTTTTTCGTAGATTCTGTTAATCCAGTCTTGTACTGAAGTACAAACTCATCTAGGATTAATTTTCTTGCCAAGGTTGAAGCAGAAGCTGCATTGCCGATCGGAAGGGAATTCACGTGTGTTGACTGGCATTAGTTTATTAAAATGACAGGATTACGGCTGGATGTGAGACCCAACTCCTGCTCCTGGAGAGTCAGTCTGCCTCTGAAGCTACAGTGACTGTTAGTGGCTAAAACTTCCTATTTGCATCACCTGAACCGTATCCCCCTTGTTCTTTCAACTCGGCTCTCCCATAAAAGCAGTGAAACACTGGCTGAGTTTTGGCTTGGAGTGAAAAATGCTTCTGCTGTTCCCCAAAGCATCCGATCACTTCTCCCCGTAGGTCTTTCTTCTTAAGTATCTAACTTGCCTTAATTAATGAGGTCTGATGAAATCAAAGCTGAAAATGGCCTTGAGATGTCTGCAGTACACCAAAATACAGAGTTCTGAGTGTGATACAGCTAAGCAAGTAAATGTATTTTCTGGTTCTTTAGTAACCTGAAGAGACTCCTGAATGCCTCTTCTACAGAACTATTTAGATATATTTGAAGGTGTTTTTTTTTTTTGCTAATACACTGTTCGGAAGTTACAGTATCTTCCATCTGCATGGCATAGCTATTGTAGATCTGTCTGTGAAACATACTTTTTTTTTTTAAGCTTTTGAAACTTTTTTGTAAGGCATATGGATAATCCTCGTGTGCAATGATACATGGCAGGTCAGCAGCTGCACGACGAGCTGCCTACAGTCCAGGGCTGAATGTGAAGAATACTTCAGCTGTTTCATGCAATAGACTTTGGAAAGACTCTGTTCAGCATTTCTTTTCCTATCAAAACTGTTCACTGGACCTTTAGCAATAGGTGGTGGGAGCCTCGATTATTTGACGATGCCTCCAGCCGCCTCAGCTGGGTCTTGGTGAGGTATTTGTTCAGAGGTGAAGTGGGAGAAGTGCTGCTTTTTGAATCCGCGGTGCAACTTCAGACTTGGCTATCTGTGGTCCTTCAGTCAGGTGTCAGCTCTCTCACGGGCTACTTAGCTGTCTAAAATATCGTGGGTTTGTGGTAAATGGTGATTACCGTGGACTTGAAAGCTAGTTGTTGGAGCAGCATCGGAAACGTGCAAGATTTGTCCTTAATTTTTATCTTGTGTTAGGAAGGTTTCTGTAGCTTTGTCAGAGTTGGCTGTACACAGTACTGTGTTAGAAGAAAAGGTATATAAGAAAGGTGGGCTTTTTAAGCTTTAAAAAAATTTGGAAAATTAATTGATGCTAAGGTGACTTGCTGATCTGGAAGGTGTTCTCAAAAATTTGTGCATTTGTGTCCTGCAACGTTTTTTCAGGGAGGAGTGCCCAATTCTGCCCTTAGATGGAACCTCACCTGAGTGTTACCTTCTTTCAAAAATATTTACAAAACCTGCAACATATTGAAACATTTTATAAATATTTCACAGAGCAGCTTCATTTTCAACTGAAAATTGTGGATGTATTGGAGTAATGAAGTGTGATTTCTTGGTCTTCAAACACGTCGCTTTTGGAATAAAGTAGATCTGCAGTGTTGCCAGCATGAGGGATCATATTTACCATGTATTACAATTTTTGTTTTCTAGCTTAAATAGATTTAAAGTGAGGGTGATGTCTTCTTGGGCTTTAAATTGCATGAAGTCATGGGGACTCACTGTTTTCCACAGAGGATTGCACTTATGATTCCTTTGCTGAAGTAAGGGGGCAAAACGGGGTCTGCTCCATTTTACTCCTAGTTTTTCTACATAATGCCTTGCTGTGAAACCAGCACAAGCAAGTGCAGGTGCTATCCCTGTGTATTACTGTTATCTTACTACGGGCAGAAGAGGCGAGTTTGGAGACACTACGCTCTGTCAGCTGCTTCTTCAGGACCTTTTTGGTGGTGATCCACAAGTGACAGATTTGCCGGTCGCACAGAATTAGATAACAAAGGTGCTCGTCCCAGGGGGGTGTCGGGTTGTGCTGCTGCTGTAAGAAACTGGCTGCACGTTCTTACCCGTTCCAGGACGTGATGCAGTGCTTGTGCTGGGAAGGGATCCTGTCCTTTGGGGCGAAGGATCCGTCTTTGGGGACAGACTTGCCAGAGGGAGTGGAATATTTCTGAAGACTGAGAAGGGCAAGGAGTTAATCAAAGAGGAGGAATATGCATAAATCGAGACTCCTGTAATTCTGTGAAATGCAAGAGCGCATTGGCGTAATGAAGACTTGAAGAGAAGAATGTTGTGTTTGTTAGGGAGGAGAATATCTCTTTGTAGGCCTGCCAGTCTCGTCAATGCTCGTTGGACCGGTAGCTAAAGACACTTGGAAGCAAAATGGCCTCCCTCGGCCCTCGCGGACACTGTGTGCGCTTTCTTTCTTTGGGACCACAGAAGTGGGATGCTTGAAGCCCAATTTCCCTTCATTTCCACAAGCTAATTTGTTTTAGCCCTTGAGTAATAGGTTTTTTTTTTTCCTGTCTAACTTGAAGACTCTAGAGAAATAGCATTCTTGAGAATGGGATTGCTTAGTAATGGCATGTTATCAAGGAAAAGTGTGTAATGCAATTGCTTGCCCTTTGCTTGTGTGCATGCTGTGTATTCACTGTGCATGCAGTTCTACAGCTGCAAGTTGTTTTATCAGTCTGCTCTTCACCTCTTAATATGCTTTGGTTCAGCTAGTGAGACTAATGCAAAGAGTCTTCCAGGTAATATTTTCCTGACTTTTTGAGTAGTTAGAATGTTTTTATGAACACAGCTAGTAAAATCTTTCAATGCCTTTCTGAGCTTGGTTAACCAGTGTACCTGTTTCTTCAGGAAATTATAATAAGTCTTGTGCTTAAAATGTATTTTAATTTCCTTAAAACCCATGGTTTTTATATGTGGAGTATAAACAGTTTGGGTAGCTGTTGTAGCACATTTTGGTGTTGATAGGCTGATAGCGTAAGTGCAAGGAACAGCTGTTTTCACCACATTCTCTGTGCTGCCAAAATGCACAAAACTAACTGTGCCCTGGTCACATTAATTTTTCCAATCTCATAGGCTTTGAGTAAACCATCATCAGCTTTTCTTTTAACCAGTATGTTCAGCATTTCTGTCAACAAACAAGAGAGTTTGAGACTGCTACTACACGTTTTATAATCTTTTGTGTTATAAACCAGCATGCACTTAGAAAAAGTGATACGTAATTTCATAACTGCAAATTATTTTCTGAAGCCTTGGCTGTCAGTTGCATTATTCAGCCATTATTACCTATTTTAAAATATTAAAGCAGCTAGAAGTTGTTTTTTTAAGGACGCTTAATAATTATCGTTGATGACATACGATACCTTAAAGCTTCAGACCACGCAATATCTCTTCTCAATAGCAAACTGACTACAGCAGTTGCTTTCACTAGCAGATCAGTTTACTTTCATCATAATAACACTAGAATAAAGTCTTAGGCATAGTTTCCCACGCTGGGGACTGATTTTGTGTTTACAGTTAAACCTGTGCTTAAGTATTTTTCAAGATTGAGGGCTTGCATTGTACTTCTGGATTTGTTTCATGCTTAACCCATCAGTTACTGCCAAGTAAAACTTTTGTTAAGGTTTTTTTTTAATATTTAAAAAAAAAAATCAGTGTGTGTGAAATTTCATCGGACTTTCTGACTGACCTTTAGTTGTAGCATTATTAGGAGTGAATGTTCTTGAGCTTAAGGCGTGAAAAGTCGTGCCTCTGTAGAAATGATATTTTGACGTAAAGATACCATGTTGTGTCGGGTTCTCTGATCTATTCAGCTTAATTTGCTGTGTATATGTTCATCAGTGTGACAATCTGTGAAGACTGCTAATAGTTTTCTTTCTTTTAATACAGCCGGCTATTGGATCAACCTTTTGCATTAGAAGCGTGGTGTCCACAACCCAGTGTGTTGCTGGAAGTAACAGATTCATTTAATACGATGCATTTTGTCCAACTTCCACTTAGATTCCTTTGTGTTCTTTAAGAGCCTTCGATAATCATTAAGTATTTTCATCTTTTGCATAAAGAGTAATAATCTGAAGTGAGAAATTTGACCTTGACGTAAGATCATTTGTTAGGTAAAATTTGATGGAAGGTAAAATATGACAACATGTAACTAGAAATTGTGGTCAAATGCTAACATTTTACACACTAATTGAATGTCTGGATGTCTTTTCTCCAATTAGGACTGGATTCTGCATCAGAACACTCCTTCTCACATTGAAAGCTGCCGCCAGTTACGTCAACAGTAAGGAATTTGTTTAAAAAGTTCACTTAGTGTAAAATGTGTTTTCCGTGCATGCACGTAGTCTGTGAAAATGTACTTGTCAGATTTCCTTAATGAGGATTGTCGGTATCTGAGCGCTATTCTAAGTTGGCTTTAGACCATTAGGGTAAAAGGTGAACTGACGCTTGGTGCTTCTGGAGTCCTGAACGGGAACGTTTATCTGTAAAAGCTACTGCATGTAAGCAAAAACTGTGTTCAGATGGCAAATTTAGCTTTTTCACTGACAGTCGTATTTTTAACATTTAACAGATACCCCGATTGGAACCCTGAGTCTCATTCTTCAAAGAGGTAACTGTTTTTTGATTACAGGTTGTTTTTAATTTGTTGCTATTATAAACTTAATTAATGCAATTAATTCCTGTTTTGGCTCTATTAGTGGTGTCAGATTGTCATTGTAAAATTGTGTGGGGTGTTTTTGTGGTTTTTGTCCTAAGTTTGTTTAATAACGCGAGTGGCATAGTATCTAAAATTCTTTCACAAGGATGAGAGTAAAGTCTGTAGAAAGGTCTGAATACTGGTATTGTCAGCAGTCTCCCCTTGAACCTTTCTTCTAACCGTGCTTCGTAAGTTAGTCGTAAGTTACTGGATGTGACGTAACAGTAACCGAGCGAGACTGACCAGTGTTAGATCACTGATTAAACTGCGCCGGTGATTTCTGACTTTCAGACTTAATCTTTCTTCCAGTTAAGCCACTCTGTTTGCAACTTGGAACCTGTTTGACAATAGGCGTGCTAGTGTTAGCTCTTATTTCACAGACTCTTCAGTCTGTAGATCCCTTGGGGAGCTACGTGATCACAACTTGAAAAAACACGGGAATTCATGAACTCATATCTCTTCTGTCCTTAAAAATTATGCTGTTTACTATTATTTTTTTTAAAACACACACCCCGTGGATTAATTCTACTTGAATCTCAGCAGGATTGGATTATTTTACTGGTTCAACATCTGTACATATTTCAACTTGCATACAAATAGGAATGATAGGACTTTAATTTTTGCTAGATTTTCCTGTGACTTTCTGTTAATTAGTTTGACATACTTCCTGAGAAGCTAACTATTTGGTTTAAAAAAAAAAAAAAAAGTTAAGAAGCTGGATATGTAGGTCAGGTTAATTTGCGGAGTGCATCTGAGGTCTCTCCATCTTAATAAAGAAGGAGAAATAAAACTTTAGAGAGAGAGATAAACTTTTGAAACTTTCATGAAGAGAATAATTACATTTTAAAACCTGAAATTGCTGTCGAGTGCTGCTGATGTTACATACAACCCAGGCAAAGGAAACTGCTCTTAGCTGGAGGAACTTCATGAACTGGAGAAGTGTTTAATAGCACTTTTTGTGAGCGAGGGATCTTCTGTGCTTGCAGGTGGGGCAAGAGTCGTCTTTTAGGGTGGTGCTTTCTTAAATCCTTCCTGATGACAGCATGGCTCCAGCTGGGCGAGTTAGAATACAGCTGTACCCTCTCGGTGATCACAGATGTCCAGAGCTGCTGGGTGCAGTCTCGGGGCAAGGCCGATGAGCTTGCTATGTACTGTTACCACTCTGGTAAACCACTTCATGGTGTTTGCTTTTTGTACATTGCGCTGGTTTGTTAATACATTCAAACGTTTTTATTGGGCAGAGGAATAATGGGATTTATATGGATTTTTAATGATGTTTGAAACTTGCTAATTAAGTAACGCTGTGAGATGTTGCTACATGGGGTGGGTTGGAGGAACACTTAGGAGACCTGAGGGTGGTTCAGCTGTCCTCATCTAGCTGCCAGCCAAAAAGGTTGGGCAGCAGCTGCCTCAGTTGCTTGTCATCCCCTTCTCCTGTCTGCCAGTTGTCAGTCCTCTCTTCTTAACCTATTTCATCTCAAAGGAACTTTGTCTATTCAGAGTCTTAGACAGTAATAACAGGGCTTGACGTGGTGATTCATTAAGCACCGATGCTCTAGATTACCTTTAAAAAACTCGGACACTTTTCAGTTGAAATGTGAACTTCTATGTTGTGTTAAGAGACTTGTGTGTGTTAGTTGTCCAGCATACAGTCTTCCCAGTAAGTCTAGTTGTACTGGATGTAAATGCAATGTCAGTTACTTCCCTGTGTTTCTGTTAGTTTTGCTACTATAATTACTAGTGAGGTGCTGCTTTCTGTGTTAAGCTGAAGGACGTGCTACATCAGTGGCTTCTTCTAGTTTCAGATCTCAAAGGTGCTGTGTCTGCTCTACGCTGTTTTGAGTGCTGGTGCAGTGTATCTTTGGCATCAAAGAATTCCGTACGGGCTGAAAAATTGGACGTGTGCTTGGCTGTAACACACTGGCCTGCTGCCTGCCAAGCTCGTAAAAAATGTTGCTGTAACACACTGCTGCCTGCCAAGCTCGTAAAAAATGTTATGGATATTTCAGAATATACCCTATGCATTTTCCAGGGTTTCCCTTTTACTCCTGTGATCTGTCCTGTCAGGGTTTTCCTATGCCTGACTGCTTTCTGTGTCTCTAAGAGGGACTATTTCTCTCATGGATCTCTTCGCCAGTACTTCTTTCCATGTTCTTCATCAATTCGACATCTCTAGGTAGCATAAGTATGCAGGGGATGTATATTTATGTAGTCTTCTCAAATCTCTCTTTTGGTTTCAGTCAGTCTTTTGGACGTAATGTCTCAAGGTTGCTTACTTCCAAACTAAATTTGGAAGAAGCAAGGAAAGTACTTAATTCATTACTCTTTCATGTATCCTTTTCCCCTTCCTATTATTTTTTTGTAGCACTGCAGCTTGTAACTTCAGAGTTTTCTTTGCAGCTTTCTCTTGTTCCATGCAGGTGGCTCTCTCCTGCTTGTTTCTTTTCAGTTCTGTCTCCCTATCCTAAATTCATATAGCAAACATGTTACCAGTATGTAAAGTGTGTTAACAAATTGCACTCTAAACTTTGTCAGTTTTGGTTCTTTTTTGCAGAAAGTCTGTTTCAACAGACTCAGGTTGATTATTCTTTTCTGCCTTGTCAAAACTCATTATATGCCTTTATTCTGCTAGAAATGCTGGTGACAGAAAAGAAAACCAGACCCCGAAGCGTCGTTCCAACTCTGCCAGTCCCAGTCCTAGACGTTCGAGGGTTGCAGGCTCTGGCTATGTTCTTCGCCGATCACGATCGAGATCCAGGAGCCCTGGCCGCTTCAGGCCAACAAGGCCAAGAAGTCGAAGCCCGCGGCAGATGCGACGACGTAGCCCCAGACACAGGTCAAGGTCACCGCAGCGATCGAGAAATCCACTGAGAACTAGCCCGCGACCTCAGAGATCTTCCAGTAATGATTGGTCATCAAGGAGGTCAACCCGATCTCAAGGTAAAGGGTGGATACACACCGCCAAATTGAAGCTTCCTTTAATTTCAGGAAAACTGAGTTGATTTCAAGAGGTTTATCTGTCCGCTTGTCACCTAGGCATTTTTCATAGCAAAATTCTGTTTTTAAAAACAACTTTTCCTTTTGCTGTTGCTTTGTGAGAAGTATGCTTAGAAGAAAACGGGCATTCTAAAAGGTCTGAAGTCTTCCTTACCTAGCGTCAGGAATTGGTTAATCGTATCGAGCCACTGCTGAACAAGTGTCTGTTCCAAGTGTCCTCAGTTTTTAAACCAGTAAGGATAGTCAAGAATTGAAAACAACTGAAGGTTCTTCTTCCTTCAGCATCAAAAAAGGTAGTTCTGCAACGGCAGTATAGATGAGGAGAAATAAAGTGTGATGCTCAGAAACTGCATTGAATGGAGGTGCAATTTACAAGGAAAGCAGTGTGTTCTGAAATAATTTTGTTGCAGTAAGAGCGTGGTGTGTGAAAGGCTTTCAGTGGAACATCCTCTGTAACAGTTAAGTGCGTTGCACCATTTTGTGACTCTCCGTTCAGTTTGCAGTTCTAGGAAACTTTATGTGAACTCAGTCAGTTCCGTGTAGTTCATTTTGAGCTCAGTCTCTGGCTGAAATACCAGTTTGTTTGGAGTTTTTGTTTCTTAAATTCTGAAGAGAAAAAAATAGAGGAATTTTAAAAGGTTGATTTTTTTTTTCTTTGTATACTGTGGCTATGTTGTTTGTATGCTTTCAGAAAATTAAGAGGTACTGAGCTCTTGTGGGAAAGAAGTCTAGGTGAAAAGTTGTGAAGGGACAGGCAGTTTCAAAGAGATCTTCTTAAGGGTAAAACGCAAGCCATTTTAGTGTAGAAGAATGAGGGGAAGAAGCAATTAATAACCAAAATGTAAATTTCCCACAGAAAGAAAGCATACAGGAAATTAATGTTGTATCAGATCGTTAAAGAATAATTTAAAACAAAACATCAGTCTGTAGCAGAAAGGGCAAGACAGAGAAGGATACAGAATTTAGCAGAAGGCATCAAGAGAGTAAGTACTGCTCTGCATCAGTATGTGAGAGGAAGATCAAAGTCTTGAAAACTTACTTTCTTTTCTTACATTCCCTGACATACAAAATTAAACCATCATTCTTTTGCTCCAGCCATTAGGATTTTTGTAGGTATCATTGTCAGTGTCACATTGTCAGTCTAACTAAAAATGTCAAGTTACACAACAGCACAGTGAAAACAGTAGAGGTTTATTATTATTTATAGGCCATCTCTGCTGGAGTGTGATTAAGATTCTCTAATTTCGGTGAGTCTCAGGATTGAATCAGGAGTGGGTGGTGAAACTGAAACTGTAGAAAATCTAACAGCAATATATGTAAGCTTTCTTCTAAAAACAAACAAACAAACCCCAGTTTTTTTTCCCTTCTGCTCACAGACAGAAAGGCGGCTCTGGAGGCAGTAATGAGAAGTTTGGGACCTGGCTTTGTAGCAGAGTTCAATAAACATAAGTCACTTCAAGCAGCTGGGCAAGGATCTTCAGGATCGGGAAAATCACCACCCTCTCATGGACCCTTAGGGAAGGTGCCTGGAAATATGAAGAAGCCACTGAAAACAAGTGTTTCTCCAAAGACTTCGAAGAAAGATGTGCCTTCTTTGCCTGGGTCGAGTTCTTCATCTCCTGAAACTGATGATTTACCCCAAGGCAAAGAAATGGAAGAGGATGAGGAAGGCTTAGTCGCAGGAACCAGTGGACCTCGTCCTACTCCTTATAATAGGGTGAGTTTCTTAATGTTTTTCTCTGTGATTTTAAGAATGTGGTTGGGGTCTCATTTCAGGGGGATCACTTGTGGAAAGATAACCATTCTGTTTGCTGATTCTGTGCCATAGATACTGCCATCTTCACGCAAAGATTTGCTGGCTGCAAGTAAGGGTGGTAATTTACACAGCAAGGATTTTTTTAACAGATGTGAAGCAAAACCTCTCTCGTGCTTTCCAAGAGCAGAAAGAAATGCCCGTTAAATTTGGGTCCTCGTTCTACTGGGCAATTGTTTTGCATGAAGTGTGAGTGATCTCTGTTCGGAGGAGCTTACTGTGTAAATAAAAGTAATGGATATCAGGCAGAAAGTGTTCATTTTGCCCTGTCAAGCAAAAAAGACGAGGCAGAGAAATTTACCACTCTTGTTGTAAGAAGGATCTTAAGCCAGTGTTGTCTTACTCCATCGTACTGACTGCTGGGATCTCATGGAAACACTGCCTATAAACCAGATTTGTGTTAGGTTACTGCCGGATAGTTGTGGTAGATGCAATCGTCCTTGGTAGTTTCTAGCCTCTGAATGATAAGCAGAGAGAACGTTGCCTGGTGCTGTTGAAAGCTAATAAATAGTATTGAAAGGAAAGTAGTGGAATTGTGCAGCTCCTTACCCATACAGGCCAGACAACTGGAATTATATAGATCTGTAGTACTTGATTAAAAACAAAAAGGTTGTGTTGTGTTACTTGGTAATCCTGTGCCATGTCTTTTAATAACTGAAGATGGAGGCAGAGTGGTAGAACAACAAAATTGTGGCTCTGTCCTTGCGTTAAAAAGCAAAAAAACTCAAAATACCACTGTGAACTAAGCAGTCTGTCTACTTGGAAGTAATTTTTATTACAGATTCTTTTTTCTTCCTTTTACTGGACTTCGAAAATGTTTATTTTGTTTTGTTTTCAATTTGTAGCTGTTGAGAGAGGAATTGCTGAGTTGTGGGACAGTCCTTCAAATATCTGATTTACCAGATGATGGCTTTTCAGACCAAGATATTAAAAAAATTGTTCAGCCATTTGGCAAAGTTAGTGATCTCCTTGTACTTCGCTCTAGAAATGAGGTGAGTTTTCCTGTAGAAAGTTCTTGTGTCAGAACGCAAAAGAAATTGTCAAGCAGTGAAAAAGGGTAATATTTGGATCCTCAGCTGAACACAGGGTAAGGCTTCCTGAACAGTTTGTCATTAAAGATCTCGGAATAGCTGGGAATCTTAACTTTATAAATTCAGTCTTACTTGCTACCTAAGTCTTAAATGTTAGAGGAAGTAGGATGCTTTTTGTATAATACTGAAATCCAGACTTTTTCATCAAACTCCACATGAACTTAGAGAGAGGAGTACATACAGTTCTGTCGTGAGCAGATTTGCTAAGGAAAAATTGCAGTGAATTGTATCTTATGTCTGTAATATAAATCAAGACTGAAAGGGCCGTTTATTTTAGGCCTTCTTGGAAATGAACTACAAAGAAGCCGTGATAGCAGCCGTGAAATACGGTGAAACTGTGCCAGTGCTGGTAAATGGGAAACGGGTGAAAATAAGTGTAGCAGAAAAGCCAAAAGCATCTCCTGGCCAGGTAAGCAGCCTGGCGGTGAACAACCTTTGTGTGTAGCTTGGTATTTTGCTCCAAAACTTGATGTTCTCCAGAAAAATAGATTTAGTAGTTTTAATATATTTTTAATTTCCTTTTCATAAACAGCAGTCTAAAATAAATAAGCAAATGCAGTTCCTAATTCCAGTTTTCCATTTTTCTTGGTGAAATTTGGTATTTGTGAGTAGTATCAGTTTAACAAACATTGAAAGATACAACCTACATTATTAATAGCAATTAAGTATATATATTAATAATTATTATTATTTTTATGTGTATATATACATTTATACATGCGTTAGTGTTAGTTATAACGATTGAAAACCAAATGGATTCATATCTGTTTGGTTTCTTGTGTTTTACTGTTTTTGAGCTTTTTTTTAGCTGTTTTAATATTCATTAATTGTCTTTAAAACTGGTTTTTCTTTATTTTTTTCTCATAATAGAAAAGATCAGAACACCACCACTAAGACAGCTAAATCCATTACAGGTAAGGTTTTGGTTACCTTTTATCTGAGGATACCTCTGTTGTTGCCTTCCCTCTTTGTTCCCATTTCTTTGTTTTTATGTGAGTGCTTTTCATAATAGCAACTGAAAGCAGGTTCAGAGAGCTACAGGAAAACGTCTAGTTTATACTTTCAAATGTCTTCCTTTTCGTGCGACCCTATCTTTTTTTTTTTCCTTTAAAAAACCCCCACAGAAACCAACCCTCAAGTAGCAATAAAAAAACCCCCCACCTTGACCTGTGCTTATAGTCTGTAATTTTTAATGTTTGCCCCATCTGTTGAAGGTAAGTGTGGCACTTTGGGCTCCATTAAGTGTAATTCTTCAAGTTGACTTCAAGCCTACTGTATAACGTATTTAACATTGTCTTTCACAGTTAGTGCTAGTGCTTCCCAGTGTCTTACGTTCCTTGTACGTTCCAAATGCTTTTGAATTTCTGCCCTCGTCTTCTATTGAAGAAAATTATTTCTATTATTATTATTATTACTTGGTCTGGCAGCCAAACTTGTATGTCATACTGTTAGAGGAGAACTTTGGGAAACTGTGCTTTTTAAAGACACATTGGTCTTGATTCATTCGTCAGCATGGTCGCTTCTGAATCCACTTTCCAGAATGGAATTAAGATTCATGTAACAGTGCGTTTCAGAGCTGTCTTGCAGATGGAAACCGTGAATTGTTTACAGTCATTTAAGAGAAAGAGAACACAAACTCTTCTGCAGGAGCAAAGTTTTGTCACCAGAATCCTCAACAAATTCACATAAGATACTCCACTTCATGGCTTTCGTTCAGTAGTTTGTTGGAATTAACTTGCGTTTTAGGCTTTGGGGTTTTTTGGTCACATCAGTTGAATTTTTGCAGGTTAGACTATTTTTGAATGTATTTTTATACTCTTACTTCACAAATGTAAGACTTAAGAAATAAGCATTTCTACTGACTTGGTTTTGGATATTTTACGTAGGTAAAAAAGAAAGGACTAAGAAATCGACAGTGACAGGAGATCGTAAAATCAAGAAAACTTCAAATACTGCGGGTAGGACAAATGAGAACTTTTACTTTTTGCTTGGAAAACAGGTGCTTTTCCATTGCCCTACCCGCCCCCCCCTTCCAGAACAGATATTTAAGGTAGTGAGTCCGAGCTTTTCACACCTTTTACTGGGCTTGCCAATGTAGTAGGCTGTTAGATAGGCAAGCACCCTTCTTGCTCCTTGTGATTCGGCTAATGCAGTGATAATTACTGCTGTTTGTAGATCTGGAATAGCAAAGAACCAGGGAAAGGAGATGAGTTTGGGGAAGCAGAGCCTTTCACATAACCGCAGGCATACGCTTGTTTTGCAAAGCTTTTCCTGTATGTACGTTTTCTGCCCATTTGTAACGAGGAGCAGGAATTTATGTGATAGGAGGCCTCTGAATATCTGGCAGAAAAACTTAGTGTAATTCATTCTTCTTTTGCAAATCGATTAGTTTAATATATTGAAACGAAGAATGCTTTTTTCTGCTGTTACCTACCAGCAACATCTATAGATGAAGACCTTCAGATCTCAACAGAAGCCCAAATGGAAGTTGGGGAAACTAAGCTGTCAGACTCAAGGAACACAGCAGAAGGAGACAGAGTTACGGAGCCTGTGAAGACAGTAGAGACTCAGTCCAGAGGAGTGACTAATCCTGCACCTGCACTAGGTAATTCTGCTACGATAATGCCATTTTTAAGTTACTTTGCTAGTTGTAAGTTATGTGAAGTTCAACATTGTGATGTCGTCTTGAATTTATTTATTTTTTAGAGAAACTTGCACAGATGCCTCAGGTGGCGGCATTGGACTTGGATGAGTTTAACGAAGCTTTAATTGATCAAGGTAAATTGCAGGGTTTTTCTCGTTTCTGTCCTAAACCTCTCTGCTATTGTGAACTAAATGAGAATGCTTTTGAGGCCAGGAAATTAAAATGACACAGGATATCAGAAAGAAAATCTGTTAGAATAGGTTCACTGACTGAAACATAAAACAACAGTTCATCATGATGACTGAAGTGGCTAAAACTCCCCAAGATTTACATCTTTCAGCGGACATAATATTTTTACCTAGACCTTTTCAGTGCGACATGGGGACTTTTATATACAGCTCATTAGAGCAAAGGATTCAGCCTTTCTGTATGTTCCGTTTACAGCTCCACCGCTAATTCTTTTAATCTCATTGCTTTACATTGCCTGCTAGAGCTGGTTCAATAGATGCTATTTTCCCCATATTTTATAACTGATTAATAGCAGACTTCACTTTAAACGTGTATATTAATTCTCAGTTACTATGCATGTGATAGTGGAGATAAGGAAGTAGTTGCTGAACCTATTAGAGGTAGATACAAACATTTTACAGTAGAAGTGATTCTCCTTTACCTGCGCTTGCCTATCCTGTATGATTGCTGTTTTCCTGTTTCCTGCTGTTTGTATTTTTCTGAGCCTCTCACGTATCACTGTGGACTCGTCCCAGGAAAAAGAAGGAAAAAGATTGTGTGGGCACATGGCGGGCACCTACGTAGTCCACCTGTGCCCACGGGAAAGTCTTGTGGTTATGACAGCATGTGGAGCAAAGCATGTGCGTGCTAATGAAGGGATTTTAATTAATTTTTTTATCCCTACTTAAAACTGTTCGTTCTGGGAGCATTTACGTAACACTGCGTCTCACCAATGTCATTTGTCGCTGTAAGTTAAGTGAAGGAATATTTCATTTTTCACGATGGCAGTAGTGATAAAATGTAATGCAAGATGATCTTAAAGCTCCCCAGTATTTAAAGAAATCTGCTGAACTACTAAACTACCTCCCCCCTTTTTTTTTTTCTTTCAGAAGCTACGATAGCGACTACCAAGAGTGAAGAATCAATGGAGCCAGCTAGCAAGGTCAGTCTGAAGGTGCTTGAATCTCTGGAAGTTGTAGGTACATGTTTGGTGCCATTTCCAAGTGTTGGTGTGCTGTCTGAAAACCTCCGACTGAAATCCCCTGCCTGTTAATTTCTCGTGAGAAATAGTGAATAGTTTATTTTCTCCTCGCTGTTTGTGATTTGTTAGGCATCTACCATTTTACTCTTTGGCTTTTTATTTTTTTCCTTGGAGTTTGTTAGTTACACCAAAGCTCCTTTACGCTCTGATCATCTATATTGCCCTGCTGTGGGTTTCTTCCCTTTAGATGCCGTATTTGCACATACAGTCCTGCAACGTTTGACATGTCGGCATGTCATGGGTATAAAGTAGTGGCATAATTATAGGGGGTTTTGATTTGCTTTGAATTTTTGATGAGGTAGCATGAGACAACCTAAGGTTTGTGCAGAATTAGCTTAGATATAGATACATCCACAATTAAGCAGTAATTAAGGTGATTACATGACATAATTAGAGAAAAGGGTTAAAAAATTGTTTAATATGCTTTGCTACTAAATCCTAAAAAGGCTTAAATGATCTTTGGTTTTGACGTTATTGCGAGTATTGCAGCGTGCTTTTAAGCAAGTGCTTTGTTCAGTTTAACGGTGGTTTTACGTGGTAAAAATAAATGCCCCCTTCAGCAATATTGCAGTTTTGATTTAGAGCTGAAGAAATATCAGTAATACTTACTGTCATTTGTTTACAGGAACTTGATGATATATGTGTGGTTCTTATTTCGAACTTGCCTGAGAAAGGATATTCTGTTGAGGAAGTTTCCAACCTAGCAAAGCCATTTGGAGGACTGAGGGATGTGCTGATTTTATCATCTCATAAAAAGGTATTCTAATTGGTGTTTGGTAGTGTTTCTACCTACAGAAGCAGCAAATGTGTTTTTAACAAATGCAAATGAGATAATGTTGTGTGGCAAGCACTGATGTGAGATGCTTTTGATAAATTACGATTTTTAAAAAGTTTTTCTTTGTTTTAAAAGGCATATCTCGAAATAAATAGAAAATCTGCAGATTCCATGGTTAAATTTTACACCTGCTTTCCAATGTCACTGGATGGAAATCAGCTCTGCATCAACATGGTGCCTCAGTATAAGACTATAAAAGATGAAGTAAGTAATAAAATACATTGAAATTCTAGGAGACGTGATAACATTTCAGTTCAGAGCAGGATCTTGTATTTAAGCTGACTTTTATACAGTGCCTGTTTTACATGTTCTGACGGTGTGTCCTATTGAGGACTGATTCTGTTGAATGTCTTTTTGAGTTGTGGTCCTCTGATAAGAGAATAACGCAGATGTCAGAAGTGCTGATGCTGTTGATTTTATTAATAAAGCAGAAACTAAAAAGTTGTTGGGAGTCAGTGACTGCCAGTTAGCTGCTGCTAGTGAAGCTATATTTTACAGTTCAAATCTTATAATGTCTTTTGTTTTCTTTTTTTAAAGGAAGCAATATTTACTGCTATAATTAAAGATTCTGACCCTAAGGTAAGTTGCTAGCAATCTAACTTTTCCTCCACATGCTATCAAAATACATTACTTTAAATTGGAATTAGTATCCTTCATACTGAAATACTAGCTAATTGAATTGTTATTCTAAGCTTTCTCTTGAATTAAATGTTTATATATGTTTTCATGGGCGAATGAGCAGGGAATAGAATGAGTAAATGTTCACTCAGTTTAGCTTCATGATGCATGAAGTGCAAGGAATTAAACATTTAATAGGAGTCCTCTGAGACCCTCTCCTTCTGTTACGTGTTTTTCATGTTCTAACAACAAGCTGCGGACCACTATAGCTTGGAGAATATGCAGTGTTGGCCTGTATGTAACGCCACCCGTTTCCCCCGTGTGTTGTATAGACAGAGATTTTGGTTTAACTACCAGAACTACCTCTGTGCTTTGTTCAGCGTAGTGCGTCTCCCTTATTATCCCTCCCGTTCCTTCGCCGCACGCAGCGCAAGCTGGCAGTTGACGTACAAAGGATTTTTATGCAGTTGTAGGTAGGCAGAGGTTAATGAAATGATAGCTTTTATGTCTTGCTTCTGTGAAAAACATTTTCAGGATATTCTTGATAGAGGGTCAGTCATTGGGTCTGAATGTGTCTCTGGGCTTAAACAGTTGGCACAAGAACTTTGCAAGAGTGACTTTAAGAACAGCAGTGTCAGAAGGTAATTGTATTTGTTTAAAAAGCATATTGCAAAGAGCCCTGCCAACAATAAATTGCTTTCCAAGAAACCCCAAGAGGCTTGAATTTTCAGTTACAGATGTGTCTGGGGGATATCTGCTTCCTCCTTATGATCAGTGTTTGGCACTAACAGACGCATCTGAGTACTTACTGCCAATATCCCTGCTGCCATATCCTACTTACGCTTCTGATCTGCTTGTGATGGAATATTTATTTTCTGCTCCTGGTAAAGTCATGAATAATGGAAGAAAAACATACCAGACCTGGAGAGGAGTGTGTGGGGGAAATCTCTTCCTTGTTGGGAGTGAGTGTTGTGTTTCTAAAAGACACACAGCTTTCAAGTATTTAAAGATAAGACTTGTTTAAGATTTCAGAAGTCTACTAGTACCTTTGGACTTTGTGGCCCAGGGCCCTTCGCTTTGATACTGCACAAAATATTTGGTGTCAGGGTTCAGTCTATGGCTCTGCTGGCGCTACGTGGCTGATGGTGGCTTTCTGTTTGCTGTCAGCCCGCTCGAACGTTCTGCACCAGAATCCTTCCTGGTCAGAAGAGACTTGCTGGTCTCCTTGATAGCCCGTCCCCGTGGTGGTGGTGATAACTCTGTTTGAAAATTGAGGGACACAGGAAATGATATTTGACCAAGGATCTTTGTTATTACGAACTGATTAAGTAAACCAAACTCCAACTTAAAAACCAGGATTGGAGTCTTTCAGATAGGTTTCTATGTCTTGACCAATTTATAATCTGACTAGATAGTGTCTGCTTTTCACAATACCACATTTTATTTAAACTTCAGCTATATTTTACAGTGTTCTTAAAGAGACTTTTACTAGTTAAAAAAAAAAAAAATTAAAATAAAACACTCGATCCTTCTCAGTTTCCTTTCCATTCTTTACTGGGAAGCATAGCTGGTTCTGTTGATGTACTGCATAGAAAACTGGAAAATGTGGTGTGAATCTGAAAACGTAAACGTGGATGTGTGTGAATGCTATTTTTTGGTAAGATCTGAGTGGCACAGAAGCCTTCTGTGGGGCTTTTCTAACCTAGTTCAGTAGTTGCTAATAAAGTGTGTTACCAAGTTAAAGCAAGTTTTGTCATCGCTTTTCTTTAGGTAAATACTGAAACTCTACATGATCAGTTTGTGCATCTTGGGAACTTGCCAGATGATGGGTACAGAGAACTCGAAGTAGTTTGTGTGGGACTTCGATTTGGAAAAGTAGATCATTATGTTGTACTGAAGAATAAAAACAAGGTAAGTATTTTTTTTTTCTGTGGTGCAAAGTACCATGTTAGGGGAAAGAAAAATTAAAAAAAGTATTTTTTTCATCTCCCGGTACCAAGAACATTCTGCTAATGAGAGATCAAAGTTTCTGACTCTCTCCTACTCATCCTGAACAAGAAAATAGTTCATATTATTTGTTGGGGACAGTGGGGAAGGAAAAAAAACCAACCAACCCAAACTTTCGGCTGTAACCTAGCCTGAACAATACAAGAACAGTTTGATAAGCTCTGAAAGTAGAGCTTCCCAAATGGCTGGAAAAATTATTAACCTTTGACATTAGAGGTGTAAGTGGGGGGAAAATAAGTTCCCATTTTGTAGGAACTTGGGGAAAAAATTTATTTCGATATGAGAAGTGAAAATGTCAGAATTGCTGAAACTACTTTTTGTTTTGGGACACTTTAAAATGTAGTGACTTGATTTTCAATTTTTAAAATTTTGATATTTTGATTTTTCATGTTGCTGGTTTTGCACTTAACATTGGATTTCTAATTTATGAACTGGAGTTAAGTCTGTGTGTGTACGTGTATATTTTAATGGTTAAAATGCAGCTGTGCTCCCCTTATTATGAGCTATTTTAAGTGTCCAGCTGCTAATAAACCATAAAACAGGTGAAGATGCTTTTAAGAAAAAGATGGTATTTTTCTGTAGCTGGAAGGTTGGACACATGTGGGTAGGGAAGCTCCAGGCTCCACTGTTTTGTGATGTAGTTCTTTATTTAGTTCTAAAGCTAATTCCAGACAGGAGAGATTTCTTCCTTCAGCCTCTCAGAGAGAAGAGTCTGCTGTTCTCCGTATGCGAGAACATAGGATTTAATAAAAGAACGGTGCTGTTAGCTAATTTAAAATGAAGATGTCGAAGCCCTTCGGGAATACGAGATATCCCCTGCTATACCAACTTAATTTATTAAACTTGTCTTATTTCTGTATTGCAGAACGAAGTAACGGTTATTTGAAGCTTGTGCTTTTTTTCTTTTAGGCGATTCTGCAGCTGGATAGTCCCAAGTCAGCCAGATCAATGTACAGCTTCCTGAAGCAATATCCGTATAACATGGGTGAGCATACATTGACCTGTACGTTGTCACCCAATGGAGAGTCCGCTGAGGTAAGATTTCTTCTTTTCAAGAATACATTATTTTTGTGGAGTAGAACCGCCTTTCCACGAAGAGCAGCTAATGGTGACGATGTCAGTATTTCCTTCACGGTTTGCTGTCGTTGTGGATGAGAGTGAAAACTGTGCAACAGCTGGGAACTGGATCAGCTGGTCTGCGTTCTGGGATGTGGCATAGGCGTGAAAGCGTGTGTTGCTGTTTGTCTTTCTTTTATATCTCTCTATTTTGCAAACTTACATAGAATCTCATCTCCACCGATGAAAGTATTTCTTAGTGAAAGATGAAGAGAAAAAGGAAGAAAGGAGGAAAGCAACTCTTTAGTACTGGTTAGAAAAGGATTGATAACTGAACTTAGTACAGTTTTTTTCTGATCTAGTTTGATTCGTCTTTAGCAGTTTATCTGCTTTAGTCCTCTCGATTCCAGACTCAGTTGCTATGTCACCGTTGGTCTGTGTGCCCACAGCTGCTTCCATCTTCTCTCTCACAAATGGAATTACTTGCAGTATTGAGCAGCTCCCGGTTTACTTCTGGTGATTTGCTGAAGGAACAGCAAACTGCAGCAGCTGTCCAACACCGGAGAGGAAGGAGCTTAGTGCATGTTGCATTGGATGGGTAAAGAGCATTAAGCAAGAAATGCAAACGTTAGCCACGTGCTAATAGTGTTCTGGCTTCCAAAGTGGAGAACGTAAATCCAGATGTTGGTGTGACCAAAATGCGTATGGGGTTTTTTTGTTTTGTTGTTTTTTTGTGTGCGTTTGGTTTTTTTTAAGTGATTGTCCATGTAAATTCCATTCCTGGAGCTCTCATTCCCTGTGTGTTGCTGTTCCTTTTCAGTGGCATGACTTTGGGATACCATTCAAACAAGAGGATGTGCCTGGAGGCACAGGGCATCCTAGTTGGGTTTTTTTTCCCCTCACTTTTATTCATCACCGGGGAAAGTTTAATGTCAGGTGCCTAATGAGAACAAGCGCATCGTTCCACTACTTCCACAGGGAGGAATAAAAGTCATGCAGACGTGTACTTCTACTTACCGTGCTGACAAAGCTGTCAGTATTATTTGTGCTGAGCATCACAACGAATTTCAACTTCTTTTAAACAGTAGGTTGTGTACTGATCATTGGCTTGTGTCATAGTTCGTTCTCTATTGTGTTGTCAATTTCTTCCGCTTTATGGAAAAGCGTCCTTATTTATGAAACCTGTAGGGTAGCTGTACGGTGTTTAGGATTCACGTTTTTAAAGACGTACTGTGTCCGTAGAGATTTTAGGTGTACATTTTTGGCGGGGGTCTCCTGCAGTAGTTGTCGAGTTGCATCTGTGATGGTTTATACGCACGGCGGTACACAACCAGATGTGATTTGGGCACACGCGTTTTTTGAGCGGATTCATCGTGCCCCTTTCCAAGTAAATCAGCAGTTACTGTGCACGTGGGGGCCTAGCCTGTGTAAAATCAGTTCGTGTTTTACCTTTCTGCGAGTGTGACCATTCGAAATGTCTGCAGAGATTCAGTGATCAGCCTGCCTTCCCAGCTCTTCCCACCCTGTCGTTCTGGGCCTTCGTCCGTGGCTGAAGGGGCATAGTTTGTTCATGAGGAGCAACCCTCCTCCATTAAGGTTTCTACTATAGCCTAGAGCCGATATAATAACACTGAAAGTGCTTTTTAATTACACATTTGATTCAGAGAACGGGTTTAACTTTCCTTATGAATGCTGTGTCTCCACCAGATGCGTGTGGTGGTGTGGTACCGTCGGTACGGCAGGGGTAGGGTAAGGTGAGCTGGTGTGCGTCCCTCGGGACCTCTGGTGCAGGGTGGGGACCCGCTGCAGGTGAAGCACCGATAGCTAAAATCTGGCGAGCGCGGGTGCATAGTGCTCTTTTCTCTTCTGCTAGGTGTAAGAGCCTGGATTAGATGTTCCAAGAGTGTTTCTGTCTTTCCTCTTCCCCACTGCAGGGATGATTCTCCCCATTGCTGACTCTCTTTGTATAGGACAATGTATGTTCCTCTTCCGAGCCACTTTATTTTGTATTTCAGTTCATATAGTGAACTTCAGATCATTTTACAGAACATAAATTATAATTGTGCTTGATGTCAGCTGCCTTTAAGAGTAATATCTTTTATTAGACTAACTTTGTAGCTGAAGAAAACAACCAAATCTTCAGGCTTATGAGCCTTTTCTCAAGTCTAGAAAATGTAAGTAATAAGGTCCCTTAGCACTGAAAAATAAGCAAAATACCATTCATTAAAGTGCTCGTGCTAAGGAATGTCTGTCAAGGATGCATTGTGGGAACACTTTGTGATTCGAATCTGCTTTTTATAGCTGTTCCCTATATCTTGTGTAGCAACAGAATAACGTGCCTTTGTCACTACAAATGTTTCATCAGGGCAGAGTTCAATGCCAACAAAGAATGGCATTCACACTCTGTTTTCAAAATAATATTTCTTTCCAGCTGCACGCTTTGGGTGATACAGAGCGCTTGTCTGATTTAGGGAGGTTGGCCAGGCAGATAGCGGTAACCGATGCCAGTGGCATGGTAACAGCAGTAATGTAAGTGCTTGCTTAATCACATTATAGTTTTGTTTCTGTAATTTTGCTGATAATGTCTGAATTTAATACTGCTGAAATAACAAAAATACGGGGAAACTCCTGTAACGGTGAAGGAGGACGTGCAACTGGAATACAGAATCACAGAGCATGGCTGCAACTGGTGTCATTCCAGTCTTTGTCAATGCGACTGTCACAGCTTTTGCACAGATGTTAAAATAAATCTGTACTTTGGAGACACACTCCTAAGCTTTACTTTTATCTATATCTGAGGTGGAGAGGAAAAATGCCTGGTCACACTGATAAGAGGGAAAACTGAGTTTTTCCATCTGCTGCTCTTCACTGCATTTTGAGTGTGCTACCTCTTGTCCATCTTCTCGGTTATGTTGCCAGAATCTGGATTATGTGCCTAGGTACCACAGGAACATTAAGCTTGTAGCTTCATTTGCCGTAAGCTATTTTCTCTAGGAGCCTTTCAATCAGAAGCTAGTCTGAAGGAAAAACCAAATCGTTTTTAGTTCATTATAACATGTTCAAATTACTTTTGGCGCTTATCTCTGGAATAAATGTTTTAAGAAAGGGAAAACAGAAGGCTTTGGAATTATGTGCATAAATAAAAGATTAAAGTGAATTCTACGTGCACTGAATTTATCTGATGTTCTTTCTAATAATGATAGTCCTCAAATTAGTTTGTAGAATGCCTTCAGAAAAGAGAGAGAGATTTCAACACTGAAGGGTTTTTTTTGATTGCTTGGACCTATGCTACTAACTGTGACAGCTGCAGAGCTTGCATGGTTTGTGGTTGTCTTTTTTTCAGAAGACTTTATTTCATTTCACATTTATTCTGCAAGTTTATTCTACATAACAGCAGAAAGGCGTAGTCCTCCTACAAGAAACGAGTGCTACATTAGCAGGTTTTAAGAAATAGAAGCTGGCCTTGGGTTTTCTGTCGACAATCACTTGAGTTGGAACATAATTTGTCTTTAGAAAAGGTGTGCCAGTGTTTTCTGTATAATGCTTACGTGTCAGGCTGACTGTATTCACCCTGAGCTCTGCAGCCGTTAGCGTCCTCGCCAGCACAGGAAAGAAGGTGCTGTCTGGGAAACGATGCTTTTAACATCCCTCTCCCCCAAATATATCACAGACTAAAAGCTAATTCTGCTCACAAACACGACAGCTTTGAAGATGAGACGAACAAAACAGTTGGTGGTATGCCACGTGTTCTGTCTAGCAAACTTTTAGTAAAATCTCTTACACTGCCATGCACTTTTATTTGTCATCTTACGAAATACGTGTTCTGTGGGGAACAGTTTTAGAACAACTTACTGTCATTTGATCTTTGAGGTGATACATACCTAAATTTGGGTTCGTGATGTTACTAATTAGCTGGGTTATGCAAATTCTGTGCTGATGCTTCTGAAAGTCATAGATACTGAACCCTGATTTTTGCCTTTCAGGCTGAAGTTGTGAAAAAAGACGTGAAGAAAGAGGAACCAAGCAAAGGAAGGTATGCCTTTCAAGTATTTAAGGGTGTTTTTAATTTATCTGTATTGTTCATAGAATGCGTATCTAAGATTGAGCAGATTGCTGAGCCATCTCTCTAACTAAGCTTGATGAAAAGGCCCGCTGTGAGATCCAGCAACTGTTACCTGCTCTTACTTCTTTCAAGATTTGTGTGTTCTGTGTGCGCAGGACGTGTAGTGTATTGCTGTAGGGCTGTAATGTTTGTGATTTCTTTGAAATCCGGGGCTTTCAAAGAACATGGACAAATGGGGTGAAATCCTGTTTTCTGTATAGCTTCATTGAGTTGTTATTGTTTTACTAATTATGGCCAGGATTTTACCACAGGTCCTGGAAAGTATGTTTGGAAATACATGTTGGTAAGACAATTTTTTGTTGTATTTAACCATGAAGTGATTGCTTTATTTCATCCTACAGCCTTTTCCTCTGTCAGAGCACCTGGCTCTATTGTTTCTGTTTCCAAATGCTAAAAATAAACTGAAACTTTCTTGTTTAACGTATTAACATTAACTTCATGCTGTGATACAGGTCCCTGAATTGATTTTAAAAAAGTTTAGATGCTATATTAACATCAGAACCTAGAAATGGGAAATGGTGGTTTTGGTATGTTCCATTTAAAATTGTTTTACGGACATTGCTTGTAGTAAAATTTCTAATTGTGGAATAACTATTTGTTGGTTTTAGTCTTGATTATGTTTTTTTTATAAATGGATAGACCATTATAAGAGTTCTTGTTAACAAATATGACGCAAAACACCTTCTGTGACTCAAATCCATATTTCTGGATAAGTTTTATCATTTAAAAGAACCCCCAAACTGTGTAATAATGGTCCTAAACTTCAATTTCAAGTAATGCCGTTCCACTATCATGAACTGTTACTATATTTCCAAAATCTGTTTCTTTCAAAAGTAAAGTTAGGCAGTCCTAATTTAATGCAACTGCTACTCAGGCCCTAGTCAATTTTGGAAGCATTCAGTTTCTAAACTGTCTCTGACTCACACGTAGGTGGACATGCAGGTAACCTTTTTGATTCCAGACCGGCGGGCTTTAGCTAGCGGTGGTAATTAATCAAAACAAGTGACTTTTACATGAATCCCAGCTGCTGCCCAGCATCCGGCTGCGGCTGGTGAACAGATGGGAAAACTGACATTTTTCCCTACAAATAATGTCATGCACATTCTCCTTGTCTGAGGCAACTGTCTTTTCCTCGTAAGCTTTTGTGACCTGGTCACTTATTCTTTTGAGTTACCTTTTATTGAAGGTATTTTCTGCTTCTTATATTGTTATATATGGGAAGACCTTGTCACGTGTTTCTGGGGAGGGAAGGAGTAGCAGAACCTGGGGAGCAGAAGGGACTGCCCTCTCGGTTGCCTGGGGTGATGAGGTGATCTTGAAAACTTTTTTGGTATGCTTCTGGAATCTCAGTTGTTGTCCAGCCCACGTAGGTAGTTCATCTAACCTTGGGGCTGAGCTGACCGACGTGTTTATGTGAATGCCTTTGCTCTTTCCAAGGATGCTGATGCCTTTTGTTGGGATTTATTTTCCTCAGCTAAAATAGCTGAAACTTTCCTTGGCCAGGTTAAGAATCAAGGACTATTCTACTGCTGCTTTTAATCCTGAGCTGACGTGTAGGAAGCAGGTTGTGTTTCCGTTGTGACACAGCCTCTGTGCTGGCATTTCTAGAACTGAACTCCAAGCCTTTCCCTCGCTAACTCGGGCAGTAATGGCTGCGTATGGCAGCTAATGCAGGGACGTGCTACGCAGAAACTGAGCAGCAGCTATTGTTGGTTTCACCCTTTACGCTAACTTCTGTGCAGGAAAATCTGTCTTGCAGGTCTACGTGCTGTTTTCTTTCCCAATGCCTAACAGGTCTTTTAAGTGTTACTTCAAGCACCTTGATGCTTCATCAGGCTCACTTATCTTTATCTCTGCGCATTACTGCTGCTGCAGAGCTCTCCTTCCACTGCTTCCCAGTCCGGTTTGAATCTCTCAGTGTATTTCGGAGACCACCAGGGCTTTGTGGAAGGCACAGAGTGGGCGCTGGCATGAAAAGGAGGCATAAAGTCCTGAGGCTTCAGAGACTAATATCTCATTTGAATTGTGTAGAGGATAAGACGTGTGTGCTACTCGCTGTAAGCTGTGCAGTTAGTGTATGGTTCCAGCGTTCACTGACACTTTTCCAATCCCTGCAAAAAATGTGTAAACAGAGGCTGTGGGGTATGGTTTAGCAAGGCATTAGAGTTTGTGTTTAATTAAGCTTTCTACGCATCAGTGACAAACCTGGGCTTTCAGAGCTGCACTTCTAGGCTTTGTGCTCTGACTTATCCAGGTAATGTTTTGCTACACAGACACGTCAGACATAAATCTCAGTGGCCTGTAGGATGCTCAAATAGAAGAGAAAATTAACTGAAATGGTTTTTGCTTTTGGAACACAAATAATGTTTAATCGATGTCAAAATATCTTCTGGGTTGTGACTGAGTAAACCAGTACTGTGGCATAAAAAGCAGATCAGCCCTGACTGCTTAGCCACTCATGAGGCACACTTACCCCAAAACATTTGCAGGTAACAAGTTTAAATTGATTACAGGTCTAAGAAGCCTGTTAGAGATGAGCGTGATGTTGGAATGAGCAAGGTTGCTTTTCTTTCATAAGACTTCAGTTACTGTGAGTTGGGCCGCTCGGGCTCTGGAGGAGATTCCCAGCATTTTGTGGGGCACGTCGGGGAGCACGCACACTCCATCGCTCCTGCGAGCGCTGCCTGCCAAGCCGCAAAATGCCGCTGCCGGCCTGCCGCTTTGCCAGGGGAGGAGTGCCCTCATATCGTGCTGCAAGTGTCCATCTGATGCATAGTCATGACGTATTGCATCTATGCCGGTTCTAAATTGGTGGTGTGAAAGATTTTGAAGCAGAATTCATATCCCTTCTTCTCTCTCCTCTCGCCTTTTGTAGCAGCAGAGGACAGTGCCCTCAGGTCTGGAGGAAACCTTCGAGCTTGGTGGTTTTGTTGTGCTTGCATAGCACAGATATTAACTGAGTTTGCCTGTTTTCATCTTTCTGTTGGCTCCATGTATTGTGTCTTCGTCTCATTAACCCTCACATCTGGCCACTTTAAGACTTAACATTTTCGTCAGTGCTGAGTTCCATTTGATCTAGCCTTCCATTTTCTTGCTGACATCATTCATGCTGGGAGTATTACCAAAATGGCAGGTTTCTCTGCTCTTTTTTTATTTTCATGAAGGTTTATACAAATGTGCACCCTTTATTCATATACATAGGTTCTGAGAAACCATAGTACAGGCTGCTCCATTGTGCATAACCACTGATTAATTATGTGTGTTTGCTGCTTTTGTGTTTGTTTCGACACTTAGCGAGATTGTCAGCATTGGTATTTCGGCACCTTTCCATCTAGAGATGCATGAGGTGTTGGGATGCTCGTTTCCTCGAGCTTTGTGGGAAAAGGGGCACAGACATCTCTAATTTCAGTGTCTCCCAAGACCACCTCCGGAGGATTCTTTGTTTCAGAGAAGAATAATGCACTTACTGTAACTCAAGTTCTCTGAAAAGCGCTATCCTCTGCATTGTCATCTTGGGCTTTATTATCCTGGGAGCTGACAGTGGGATTATACAGTGGAAACAGAGCCTGGCCAAAAGGAGCCTCTCTGCATGTATTGTGTTCCCCGCTATTGTGCGAGGTCAATGCAGTTTAAAAGCAAAGCAACCCCTCCCTCCCCCCAAACCTGAACCAAAAAAAATTAACAAACTTCAGACTCCTAGCTACTGGAAGAGTTCTCTAGGTTGGTGACTACAGAGTCTGCTGTCTTCAAACATAACAAAACTCTGGTAATCCCTTTATACAGCGAAACCGAAGCTTTATTTTCGCTGTGTATGTGCTTTCACAGTCTGCCTTGCATCAGGGGATCTAAATTTTAGGAGCTCATGCCAGCGCTGAGGTCACAGGGCACATCTGTAGTGAGTGCTGCCTTGAGAGGTCTGACTACGAGTAATGTAATTCGAAGTGTAAGAGGCTTGCGGTACTGAGGTGGATTAAACAGAAGCATAAAACTAATCAGCTATTTGCCTCAATATTGTTAACCATTTTAACACTGATAGGCTAGATTTCCAAATGCTAAGCACTAATGCATCAGGAAATCCCCCACCATTGGCGTCAAGAGGTTACTGGTAACTGTAGAATTCTCAACATAGTTTGATTTCTTCTGTTTTTTTTAAATGCATTTAGCTCTGGCTTGAAAAAATATCCAGAGGGATCAGGAGTGGTGCAAACAGCAGCTGCTAATCCTCCAGTAGAGCCTAGTGTGGCAAAGAAAGGACCCATTTCCATCTCTAATGTCAAAGACGAGATGTCAGCAGTACAGATAGAGCCCTCTGAGTCCCATCTTGAAAGAGCAGTAAGGGAGTCTGCTCCAAGACTGGCAGAAACGTCTGTGGAGAAAGTGGGCGCTGGAGTTGAAGCTGCTGTGGCATCTGTCAAATCCGTTGCCACCGAATCATCTGAAGCAAAGTCAGAAGAGATGCTGCTGCTGCCTTCCAGTGTGGAGAAGGAAGAGGCAGTTAAAGATAATGCTGAACCAGAGTTGTTTGAATCTGCTGTTGTATCTGCACCAGAGAAGGAAATTAAAGAGAAAGATGAAGAGTTGTCTGCTCCTGCCATTGAACGACCAGAAGAATTGTCCGATGTGGGCAAGGCTGAAGATGTGCCATCAGATTGTGCTGCGAAGCCGGCAGCAGGGGATGCGACAGGGGCCATCCCTGAAGCGGTGCCCCCTGGTTCTCATGCAGCTTCAGTGGAGATGGTGTCATCTGTTGTCACACAAACAAACAACAAGTTGGATGCTCCTGAAAAAAATACTGTTGCTGATGCTGTGAAAACCGAACATAAAATGTGTGTAACTCCAATAACGGAGAAGAAATCTGTACTTAAAACTGGGGCGGCCATGGAGAAGAAACTGGATATAGCTGTAGCAGACGCAGAGGTGAGACCAGAAGAGTCTGCGCTCAAAGTTGGAAGAGCTGCGGAGGAGAACCCCGAAAAGCTTTTGGTCAAGACTGGGGCAGAGACAGAGAAGAAACTTGAAAAATCTGTGACCAAGGTTGGGGCCGCTATGGAAAATGCTGCAAATGCTGTCAATGAGAACAACGAGGGAAGTTTAATCAAAGCCCATCAAAATAAAGGAACAGGACCAGCAAAAACTGATGAAACCTGCAAAGCAGTTATGTTAAACTCCTCTCTATCTGTCAAGGAATCTTCCTCTGTTGGTAAAACGATTTTAAAGGCAGTGGTGTCTCTTCCGGATATATCAAAGTCAAGGGTTCCAGTACGGAGAAATGAGCCTTCCCTGTGTAAAGGAGGGGAGCAGAAAGCTCCCTCGAAGCCTGAGACCCGAAGCCAAGCAGCGGTGGTGAAGAAAATCGCATCAAAAGAGGAGGGTCATCCACGACCTGGTAGCAGCCGATCAAGCCTGGGAGATGGCAGCGGCAAATGTAAAGTGAGCAGAAGTTCTGTTGTTGATGGAAAGGGAGGCAATGGGAGGAATTCATCTCAGCAAGAGAAGGACTCACGAGTGGAATCTAGGGCTAGTTCAAAACAGTCTCAAGAGGGAGAGAGTAGATCATCCAGCATGAAGAAAGACAACAGCAGCAATAAGGTGAGGAGGGCAGGAAGGCCGGTTCAGTGTGCCTGATCAGTAACTAACTCCATGCTTCTCTCAGATGTTGAGTATGGGACGATGAGATTATGTTCCCCTTCCCTTTTCCATAAATCACTCAGCTGGTTTGGGCCAACAGACAAGTTGGAATAGCGAGATGGCGGGCAACCAGTTGCTTTTAGATGCAGTGTGTGCAACGCAAGTACGTAACTGGTTTGAAAATGCTACTTGGAAAAAATTGCAGGAAGGTATTTTTGAAGCGAGTCTTTATTGAGTGTCATAACTTTATGTTCTTGGATTAGTTCTGAATGGGAATTAATAAGTTTTCTGTCCTTTTGTGAGCTGGTATTTGCTTTGTCAAGTCCTGCACAGACACTGGTTACTGAAAAGAGGCTACTAAGCAAGCTATTACCTGTGACTTGTTGCTAGAGACTGTATGCCTGGACTCTACCACTGACGGTTGGCTTAGTTCTGTATTTGCCAAGCATGTGATCAGAAGCAGCAATCTGGACAACTTAAGAAAGTTCATTAAGGGAAAAAATAGCTGATTTTTTTAAAAATTATTCTTTCTCTTGTGGACAAGTTAGTTGGCTTAACTGATTTCATGTGAACTTTTGTCTAATTTTGCAGGCTTCTGTTGGCGGCAATACTAAAACTTCAAAAAGTGGCACTAGCAGCAGTGCAAAAGAAAAGGAGGTAAGGATGTAACCATAAATGAGCTTGAAGTCAGATTGTCTTGAAAGCATGTGTGTGTGTGTGTGTGTGTACTAAGAATCTTTAGCGTCCTTCCCTAGGGAATTTTTTGCGTTGCTAGTTGTTACAGACTGTGGGCATAAAGCTGTAAAGACAAGTAATTTGGAAGAGAAACTTAATTCAGGAAGTGGGTGTTAAGAGGAGGTATTTTTTGGTCTCGGATATCATTTGTTTGAGAAAGAGAGAATTAATTTATTGGATCCCCAGCCGCCTGCATAAGATCTTTATTCATCGTCACACTTGTGAGAGGAGGAAGGAAGGCTGAAGTCTTCTAGCTCTTTATAAATGATTTTGTACAACAGGAGGTAGTCAGAACATCTCCATTCATGGGACCTCTTCCATGCAAGGATATTTCCAGTGGGTTGTTCTGCAAAGCAAGGATGATTGTACATTTTTGGTGCAGTGTTGGTTTGAAGAAGAGCTTGGGAGCCTATAGGCTCAACTGCTCAGTCTGCATTTTTACAGGAAGGTAAAAAGAGATACCCTCTCTCTCTCTTAGATAGCTTGGGCTTTGGGAAAGAAAAACAGAAAGAAGGTAATAAAAATCCATATTGATGAGTTTGTAGAAGTAGTGTTACAGGATCAAATCAAAGATCTACCGGGGGTCCCTATGGAAAAGGGATTTCCGACATAAAGTTGGAGACCTGAATCCTTTTATTAATCTTTATCCACATAAACTTACTGCATCACCAGCACAGTGTGTTTGTGAGGTTGGTGGTAGCGATGGTCATAGAGAACGCTTTCATATCTGATGTTCCAGATGTGTTTGTTAATCCCCGAGAGGAAATTCTGCACCTCTTGAAAAGGGTTTTGTAACGTCTATTACTTCTTACACCTTTATTCTTCACTGTTGTACAGCTGATAAGAACCAAGATCTGTGTTCTCCTTTTCGTGGGAGAAAGAATACAGTAATGTTTTTGATTTCAGCTGAAATGTAACCAGATACATTCTTTCTTTTTCTTCGCTGTGCCCACCTTGCATTAAATATTCCTCAAGTTTCTGCATCAGAAGGTGGGTGGAGGCACACGTTATTCTTGGTATTCGTTAGCTTTTTAAAAAAGAAAGGGAAGAAAAGGCATGTAGCCTTTGAAGTTCAGATTACTTTTTCTGCTGGAGGATTGTTTTTAGTATTTCTTAGCTGCAGTCTGACTCTCTAACAGAGGAAAGTTCATCTCGCCTTGGCCTTAAAGTTCTGCTTTAAGTTCACTCTTCTTGTGTTAGATACGGACCAGTATTTGATGGTAGGATGGAACATTTTGCAAAAAAAAAAAAAAAATTCAGAATCGTTCATTGAAGAAATTGAATACATAATTTGTGGTGCAATGGATATTTGGATGCGTTTTAATGTCTAAATTTATTAATTGACTTAAGTACCCATCTTACCCACGCTATCCTACCATCCCGATTATAAGAGCATAGCTATTTTACAGTGAACAAAGTATAATGCTCTGTTCCAAAAACATGTCTATTCAAATAACCTAAAAGTAATTTGGGTTAATTCACTCTTCTGTTAAATTCAGCATTTATCCATACATCCTCCTCCAGATGTTCTCAGCTGCATATGGCATTAAATTGCTGCTAATTCTTTCCAGTGGTCCTAGAATAAATTGTGTGAGCCCTGATGGAAGCTGGCATGGTCAAACTGCAGGGTAGGAGGAGTTTCAGGTGTAAGACATGCTCCAGTAAGAGCATGCCACTGACCCAGGAGAATTAGAAAGGGGTCAGGCTCTGTCATCTTAAACATAAAAATACAGTAAGGCATTTGCCAGAGAGCTGGAGCTTGCCCCCTGGCCCCTAACGAACGACGGCTGGCACAGGAGGAGCAGCAAGTCTGCCAGAGCGTCTGTGGGGCTAGTCAGACCTTAACAGAAAGGAGAAAATTATCTCCTTCTACGTGTTGGTTATAGAGAAACAAAGGGAGGTTCCAGTGCTGGGAGCCCTTTTCTAGGCTGGAGCGTAGGGCCATCGGAGAACCTCTTGGAGAACCTCTCTGAAACAGAGAAGTTTGTTAGGAAATTGAAACCACAGAGGCAAGGTAAAACAGTGAGTAGTCACCAGGACACAGAATGACTTTGCTGCATCGAAACATCTAATGTCGTCTCCTGTTTTGTAGCAGCGGCCAACAGCAGACACTTAGGGAAGAGCATGAGATATGACACAAGATAATAGTATTCTTGAAGGATACTCTGGAGGTATTCAGATTTTCACTAGTCTTCCTGCAAGTGAGTGCAAAAATATACATGAGTATTCAGGGCATCGGCCCAGTTCTGTTAATAGACAGATTTCGCCTATTCATCCGCTGTGTTTTTGAAATATGCTTTGGGTTTCTGAATTAAATCTGCTTACTTAACACAAACGCCGATAATGAAAACTCTTCGACATGAGACTGAAGGCCTGAAAATTGTTTTCTACCCTTAAGTCAAGTTGCATTTTTTTTTTTTTTTTCCCCTTCAGCCAGGTTCAGCATGTAGATATTTTTCATTAGGCACTCTGTGGACGGAGGTGTTTGTGTCACTGGGTGGATGTTAAACTCGTTCCATTCACATTTTTACACTTCCTAGGAAGAAGAGCTCTTTCCATTTAACCTGGATGAATTTGTTACTGTGGATGAGGTCGTAGAGGAAATCGAGTCTCCCGTTAAAACGCGGCGAAATCCACCGAGGGGAAAGAGAAAAGATGGTGCTAAAACCAACTCCTCTTCTGAGCCTAGTTCTAAGAGGAGGAAAGGGAAAAGCTCCATAGCACGCATTGCTGAAAGCGAACTCTCTTTTGTCACTTTGGATGAAATCGGTGAGGAGGAGGATGTGACTGCACAGCTAATGGGAGTTGCTAATTTAGAAGCGCTCAGTGACCCGCAGGGCCTGGTTGTAGTGGATGAAGTGATGGAAGAGGAAGAACTTATGTCAGAAGCAGTGAAGGATCCACAGTCGCTTGTTACTTTGGATGAGATATCTGAACAGGAGGACATTAGTTCTCATAAAGACATCCCTAGGTCAGTTTTTGAGGAGCAGGATTTGAAAGCCGAGCCCTTGGTAACTGTAGATGAAATCGGCGAAGTGGAAGAGCTGCCTCTGAACGAGCCTACGGACTTGAATATTGAGGATGTGCTGAAACAGAAGGAGGATGATAAAGTGACTGCTGAGGATACGGGGGATTGTGCTTCCTCCCAGGTGCCTGATGATCCCAGTGCTTTAGTGACAGTGGATGAAATACAAGAGGACAACGAAGATAACCCTCTAGTGACTTTGGATGAAGTTAACGAAGATGAAGATGATTTTCTGGCTGATTTCGATCGTCTAAAAGAAGAACTAAACTTTGTTACAGTAGATGAAGTTGGAGAGGAGGATGAGGAAGAAGAAAATACTTCCCCAGGGAAAAATCTGAACGAGGAGGAAGACGATGAAGATATTGTTGCCGTTGCAGGACCAGAAGAAGAAGAAATTGCTGCCATTGCAGGACCAGAAGAGGAGGATATTGTTGCTGTTGCAGGACCAGAAGAAATGGAAATTCTAGGAGGGATGAGTCCAGAAGAAGAAATTATTGCAATCTCAAAGTCAAAAGGTAAGGAACTTCTCATAGTTTCTAGAGGGGAACTAGAAAATAAGATGCTTGTAATCAGTGCCACGCACAGAGACCCTTGTAGCAAATAGAGGAAACTGAAAAACCCCAAATCTCTGACAAAGTTGATGAAAGAGATGCTGGGGAAAAAAACAGCGTTTTTTTTTTCCATCACGCTCCATCACGCTCCAGGAGATGGAGCGTGAGCAACGGCCTGAAGGTAGGATATTTTATTAATGCATTTTACAATGCATCTTCCTTTTGATGTAAAATGAAGCTGCATAGTGATTTGCAGTGTTCATTTGGAGTTTATGATGGCTAAAATTGGGGAAAATAGTTTCTTTTCTCGCTTTTAATGCAAGGCCTGGTAAACTACCTAACACAGATTATTTATAGTCTGTAATTACAGGGCCAAACTTTACTGAGGTGAGTCAAATTAAATAGACGCACAGATACAAAGACGTAATGGCTTCCAAGCTGGATCTAGAGGAAAAAATGTAGAACATCATCTGTAGCATGGAATTAGCAAAGGGTTAAGAAAGTAGTAACACAGAGCCAAGCAGGGAGAGCTATATATAACCAACAGACAGAAGGGTTTTGGCCAGAGCGTGGGTGAAGGCTCTACGTGATGCAGTACGCTAGTCCCGAGTTTTCTTTCTGTCTCTGCTGATGTGGCTGAGCACTGACGCAGCACCTTTTGTTCTAATGTTTTGGAAAAGCTTTTCTCCACTCATTGCGTAGCAGAGGCAACCGGAGTAGTGCAGATACGGAGGAGCTGCAGAAGCAGCAGACGTCTTGCTTAAAACAGAGTATTTTAAACTTCAGTTTCTGCAAACATTAGGAAAGGGATTAGTTGACTCTATACACACCCAAAAATATTTAAATGTTTTATATTATTTTAATCATCTTAGTGTTATAGAACATAAGCTTCCCCATGATTAACAAAAGCATTTACTAAAAATGCAAAATATTTTCTATGTTCTATTAGCAAGTTAGCTGTAAAAAGACCTCTTAAAATATCCAAGCCCTTGAGTTGATTTCTGATCTAACTGGTAGTGACAAATTACAATAAATATATTTGATACACAGTAAATAAGTATAGTATTTTACTATACTCGGTATAGTAAAAACCTCAGGCAAAAGAGGTGGCTTAGGAAAGGACTAGTTCCTCTTGAGTTTGAGAAGTAGAACAAGAAAAGTGGGAAGGAGAGGTTAAAGCAGGTAAAACCGTATTTGTCAAGTCCTAAAATCTGACTCCAGCAGCGAAATAGGAAACGGTTTATTGCTTGCCTCAGGCCAGCAGTGAAAAGGAGGGCAGTCAGTCTGCAGCTGGTAAAGAGCCAAATCTGAAACTCCGTGTGTTGATGATGCGAGGAGGTACTCACAATCTGCTGAAACATCTCGGGGATGCAAGAGTGGTGCTGTCTGCGTTCCTTCGACAGCTTCCTGGTTTTTGTTATTAAGGGAATGGACTTACTGCGTTAACCCTGTTTAGGACATATAGGTATCTAGATTATTTGAAGATAGAAAGAAAACAGATATTTTTGATGTGTGACTCTTCACCTGCCGGTTGGACTGCTTTGATAGTCTAAAAAACAAACACCTTGTTTATCTTGTATTAGAAGAGACTCTGTCAAATTCCTCGTCTCCAGAAAAATCTTAAAATGTTGATTTTGATCTTTCCTTAGAGCTGGTTAATCCGGTAACGCATTCGGTAGGCTCTGACTGGTTCTGTAAGGAAGCTGAAACACTGCTGTTGGACCTCGAGCTAGATTAATTCCAGAAAGCTTGGTGGCTTGTATTACAAAGAAGTTGAGATTTGTGCGATCGTAATCGCAAAGTTGGTTTGAAGCTGCTGATAAGAGCTGTAGGGGAAGGCGGCTGAGAGCGGCGGTGGTACTTCTGTGAAGAGTGCCGTGTGGTCAAGAGCGCTTTTGGAGTCGTTCTCCTTAGCACCGGGGCTGCCTTTGGCAGTCTTGGCCGCGGGATTGATGTCAGGAGTTCCTGAAAATTGCTTTGTGGAAAGACCGAACCGGATAGTGTAGAAAACAGTTTGCTTCAAGCAGTAACCAGCCATTACAGCTAGGTACAGAATACCTTTAAACTAGCGGATACCTTTGTTTAACGTGCGTTTATGGCCTCCAGTAGATCAGCTGGGATCAGGAGATAAAGAACCAGAGTCTAAGCGGAAGAAAATGGCTTCTTCAGATGCATCAAAGACGCAGAGTACTCCAAAAGGTAAAAACACAAAAGCCCACCCCAAGTGCTCCGTACTTTTCTTGCTGGAAGACAGCTGTCTTGCCCGTTTGAAAATGCCTCCTTTGCCTCGTTACCACATTTAACTTTGAAGTCATGGCCCATAATTTGTGTTTGTATCTTGGCTCCTACAAATGCATGTTTAACAAGTTTCTGCTGTCGGCTTAATAGCAGCAGCAAAGTTGAAAGTTCTTTTTTTCCTAAAATTTAATTTACAAATATGGGCTAATGTATTTATAATTAGCACAGTGCACTGTAATATCTGTCTACTGTTCTAATCCTGTTATGAGTTTTATTACCAACTTTCAATCTATAGGAAGGAGGGAACTGCTTACATTGTTTTAAAAATGTGTGTGTATATATATATTCTAAGATCCTTATCTAAAATACTTTTATATAAAAGCTACTGATACACTTGAACCGTAAAAGAAGTTGCTAGGAAAATACAGATCCTTGCCTGATGGCTTGTGCAATGTTCTCCGTGACAGACAATGCTTGCATAACACACTGCAGGACAGAGGTTAAACTTGGCAAATGAGTTGTATATAACGTACTTTAAGGTCAAAAGACGCTGAAGTAGTTGCAGTGAGCTTCAGATCCAGAAGGTCAGTTGTCCTATTCTCAGAAAAGTATGTCTCGTTCTCTGTTGATTGGAAGTAGGGCAGGTGACCAACTCGGGTTAGAAGCCTAATTTTTTGAATGCTGAAAAAAATGTAACTAACTTCCTTCCAGTAATAACAAATTCTACAGATTTGGCTAAAGGAATCTGATTTTTTTAAATTTTTTTTAAAGCTGTGTTTTGTTCATGCTTTAATTTTTTTTTTTAAAGCTGTGTTTTGTTCATGCTGTTTGTTCATGTTCATAATGTGTGCTGTCTCTTCAGATTTGGATTACCTAGTTCCAAAGGCAGGCTTTTTCTGTCAGATCTGCTCGCTGTTCTACGCAGATGAAACGTCTGTGAAAAATCACTGCAAGACACCGCTTCATCAGCAAAATATGGAGGTAATGCTGAAGCTTCTCCAAACACACAGAGGTGGAAAGAATATCCTTCTAAAAACGTTTGCTTTAACGAGTGCTAATAATTTCCTAGTGGCATAGGAAGCTCATATTAATACTTTTGAGGGGTTTTAGTTTTAAACTCAGACGCAGGTATTGTTAAATTAGTCAAGCTCATCGCCTACATAAAGCCTTCCTTACCTAGGAAGGCCTGGGAATAGCTGTTGTCTTCCCTTCATTTTTCAAGAAGCGGTTTTTAAAAACGATGCAGTGATGTGTCCGAAAGCACGGTTTTGTCAGATTTCCCGGCTTGCTGAAGCTGCCGACTGGCTAAAAATACCTTGCAGATATAAAATGACCAAAAGCTCAGTTCGGCAGCCAGAAAACTTAGGTTTGGGGTCAGAACTCCATATAACAATAGGAATAACATAGCAGTATCTTCTCACTGGCTGCCCTTATTTCTACAGAAATTCATGGCCAAGCAGAAGGATGAGGATCACGATGGGGAAGAGCAGAGTTCAAGGTGATCGGAGGCAAGAAGAATTCGTTCAGTGAATTAAACTTAGGGTCCAGTCAATTTTGTGTATTTTGTTATGATATAATTTGTAATTTTGTTTCAGAAACAAGCATTCATGTTGTATAAATTTGAGCTCGGTATAGAGAGACTAAAAGAAAAACGTATGGTGGCTTTGATTTGTATATCAAATCATCTGACGTGGAAGAGACTTCTTTTACAAGTGTCGACATGAAATAAATGTTCTTACTGTATAGTTAACACCAGGGGACTGCGTTTGGTGTGATTTATTGTGTTTTGTTAACTCTCTGGATCACAGTGGAGACTAGGGAGGGAATTCGTTCCAGAGATCTCTCTCTGGTGCCGCTTCACAGAGCTCTCGGCAGGTGAAATTTCACAGGCTGCGTACGCTCCATACCGCCCCGAAGCAGTGACCCTCACGGTGAAGATTGCAGCGATCCTGTGGATTGTTACGCTCCCTTCAGCCACCTTTTTCCGACCGCCTCTGCAGTCTCACGATAGCCTCGGGAAGGTAAAGCCGAGGGCGTGAAGGGGAGCAAAGCCTGTTCCAGCACTGCGTTAGCGTGCCTGCTGTTACTGCGGTCAGCCAGGGAGGTCACTGTCCCTTGCTGTTTCTCCTTGGTGACGGAGTCTGCTTGTTTGTTTTGGGTTGTTTCTCCCTAGTTTGTTCTGGTCTGTAGGTCAAAGCCCGTGGAGCACTCAGCAGCATGGCTGAAGTTTGTAGTCTGCTCTTGAACGTTCCTCGCTGCTCAGTCTGTGTCTCTGGCTGGCATGCTCTTGACAGCGGATCGCAGTCTGGATCTTGATTGACTTTGCTTTGAGCTTTTATTTTTCACCTAGCCACTTGAAATTTATTTAAAAGACTGTTTTTTAAAATCCACATTTTCTCTGCCACTCCTTCAGACATTGGGTAGTTGACTTTGGCTGAATTATGTTCCTGGAAGGGGAGTACAGAAGTGTTCCTACATGTCCAAGGAAAATGAGGGACTTTGTGGTTCTACCTGGTGGTGATACTACAAGTTGTACCTGTGCCATAGAAATCCTTGTGTCTTCAGACCGCTGATCAGTAAAGTACTAAAATAAACTGAACTTCAGCAAAGGAAGCACCCACATGTAGCTGTTGTGAAACATGTTCCTTGATGGGAGATGATCCAGGAAGGGAACTGGGGTTGTTTAGCCTGGAGAAGAGGAGGCTGAGGGGAGACCTCATCGCTCTCTACAACTCCCTGAAAGGAGGTTGTAGTGAGGGGGGTCGGTCTCTTCTCCCAAGTAAAAAGCGATAGGACAAGAGGAAAGGGCCTCAAGTTGCGCCAGGGGAGGTTTAGATTGGACGTGAGGAAAAATGTCTTTACTGGAAGAGTGGTTAAACGTTGGAAGAGGCTGCCCAGGGAAGTGGTGGAGTCCCCATCCCTGGAGGTATTCGTGTAGCTGAGGCGCATAGGGCCATGGTTTAGTGGGCATGGTGGTGTTGGGTCGACGGTGGGACTCGATGGTCTTAGAGGTCTTTTCCAACCTTAGTGATTCTATGATTCTAAGTCCCTCAGACTTGCAGGACCTTGCTGCTTCAAGACCAAGCGTATGCAGAAAGAGGTGCTTGTACTTCATGTATTGAAGGTGTCGAATGATACTGAGCCGATAAACGTCTCTAAATACCTGTCCACCGCCTGAAGTCCGTGCCGTGTACGTGCAAAGAGGACAGAGCCTGCTCTGAAGGCTCCAAAGCGCGAAGGCTTTGCTTCAGGCTGTCCCTGCGGGTGACGGAGCAGTTTTGCTGTCTGACAGGCAGGTCATGTGGGAAGTCGTGAACAGAACTTCATGAACTGCAGATTATTTTTGTTTGGGCTTTTTTTTTTTTTTTTTGTATTATTT